ATAGCACGTCCCACAGGACACCCCGAGCGACACGGTCAAATGCCTTCTCCAAGTCCACAAAACACATGTAGACTGGTTGGGCAAACTCCCATGCGCCCTCAGGTATCCTTGAAAGGATAAAGAGCTGGTCCAGTGTTCTGCAACCAGGGCGAAAACCGCATTGTTCCTCCTGTATCTGAGGTTCGACTAGCAGACAAACTCTCCTTTTCAGCACCCTGGCATAGACTTTCCCAGGGAGGCTGAGGAGTGTGATCCCCCTGTAGCTGGAACACACCCTCCGGTCCCCTTCTTAAAGATGGGGACCACCACCCCGGTCTGCCAGTCCAGGGGTACTGCCCCTGATCTCCACGCCCTGAGGCGTGTCAACCAGGACAGCTCTACAATGTCCAAAGCCTTCAGGAATTCAGGAGACAAGATGCCGTAGGGATAAAAGAAAACTCGAGTCTTTTAGTCTTCCCCCCAGGGTCTCTTTAAAACGGCGGCCGGACGGCAACAACTCAAACTCACTGTGGTTCAAACAATTAATAATAGAAAGCGCCTTTCTAAGCACATTTCTATTGTAGATGGCCAAAATTCCATCTTGCCAGCGCCCTGAAATTTTGCTAGCAGTTTTTACCAGAAGTCCCAACCGATTCTTATTCTTCACCATCAGGTTAGCAAACCAGGCAGCGATACAAAAGGACATCACAGATTCAATAAAATTTCTATAAAACAAAGACAACATCTCAGATGAGACATTAAAAGATTTCATTTTCCTTAAAAAGAACAGTCTTTGTTAAACTGCCACTACAGTTTACGGTCAAGTACTACACCTAGATATTTATAACTCTCAACGATCCCAATATCAGCAGTTAAAATAAAAAGATCTCCTAGTTAGTGATCATCAACTGTGTATTACCAGGGTGTGTGCTTAGGGAGAGAGGGATTTCCCTCCCTCTGCTTGATTATTTTTTATCTCCTGCGGGGATAAATATTCAACCCCCTCCCTCTGATTTTTAGCTCTTGAAACAGTCAACAGCACGAACATCCGTCAAATCAGAAACTGACTTTTAGCGCTTGCAATCTGTAAGAGCAGAGATGACGCTGTTTGGGGAGATCATCCAGATCTCGTTCTGCTTCACCGTTTCATGAACTCACTAAGCACAGCTGTTTCAGAGTCAAAACTATCGTTAACTAAATAAAAGAGAAGTGAAATGTATTCACAGTGGCAGGAGGCTCACCAAAAATCCTAGAAGTATTCATGCTGTGTGTCAAACAGTTGCCTGTTCGTTGACATTTGAATTCGTGACAAAGTTTAGTTATGCAGCTTCTTCTTTCAAATTGTTAACTTCCAGCACCGAAGCTGCTAACTGCAACATCCTGCAGTTATAATGGACATCTCTAGAAGAAAATACATTCACATTTTGTTGGCTTTGTTGGCAGCTGCTGTGAAGGGCTGAAAGAGATTAGCAGCCACACTCCTGTGTTTAAAAAAAAAAAAGAATAGAAAAAAATAATCATTCACAAGTTTGAATCTGGAGTTCGTGAACACATAGTTATTCCATTTTTACAAATATATTAAGTCATAAACTCTAAAGTCCTACTCCTGATATTAGCAAATGGATGTTTCCTTCTTCCCTGTATGGAGATCTTCAAATGAGAGTTAAAAAGGGGCACTTTGTAGGAAAGCCAAAGGCTGTTTTCTCCTGAATCTACTGTAGAGGAATATTTATTATTTTTTAAACTGCAGCACATTTTATTTTGACTATTTGTTTCTCATGTCATTTTCACACATTTACTAACTTCATTAACAGGCCCCTCCCTGGGCCTGCTTTCTAGGTTTTTCCTTGTTAAAACAGAGTTTTTCCTTCCCACTGTGGCCAAGCTTTTGCTTGAAGCGGGTTGTCTTATTGTTGGGGTAAGGTGGCACTTTAGAATTAAAATTGAATTGAATATGTATTGTATTCAGTTTTACTTCTCCTTGTCACAGTACCTTGACTGTTTGCACATGTGTGTTTTCCCCACCTGTGTCCACTTCCCCTAATTACCCCTGTATGTATAAATAACTTCCACCTTTCTTGTCAGAGTGTCTGTGATCTGTCCCTCTGCCCTGTGTATGGATTTAGTTTTGCCTTGACGTTGCAAACAGCTTCAATAAACAGGTTTGCTTTATGCTTAATCCAGTCTGTCTCCTGGGGCCTTTACCTGTATGTCAATTATGGCATGTTTAACTGTTTGCACTGTTATGTTTCTCTGGATCCCCTGTGTCTTAAGAGGAAATCGTGAATAGTACTCATAATAGTATTTATTTATTTTTTTAAAAAGTTAATGGCACCTCTTTATTTTTTATTTTACCCTTTTTTTATATTGCACTGAGGCAAAACCTGTATAATCCCTTAAAATAAACTGGAAATCAGAGTTAATGAAAAACGATATACAATTTTGTTGCAGGCTCTACAGTGAGTAGAAAGTGGTCCTAATAGTGTATGAAGGTGATTCAGCCTTTACTGGTGGGGCCGCTAAACTGGAACTGCTGGCATCTGAAAACATAAATGCATGCATGTATATTTTATTCAGTGTGTTGGTTTGATTGTCTGCCACCCAGTTTGGTCCAGCAGAGTGAAAAATCTCAACAACTGTAGGCTAGATTGTCATGACATTTGGTGCAGTTGAGCTCAAAGGAGAATTCTTAATGACTTTCTGCAGCACCACTATTAGATTTCTGTTTTTGAGTGAAATATTAGATGAATTCCAATAATATTTGAAACAGGCATACTTCCCCAAGCCCCAAAGCCACAATAGTTATCCACAATAGCTGGCAATTCCTTACCTAATCATCCAGGGCAATTACCAGATTGAAATACGTAACGTACAACACCTGATCTTACAGGATGTTTGCAATGTGTTTTTGTATTCTGTTCAATTTCCTGCTGTGTAAAGTGCATTAATATTAATGCACATAGGCATTTCTTTCAGTATGCAAGATGGATGTAAGAGTGGAAGGTGTGCTGACATGTTATTTGGACTATGGCCATTCTGGTGTGTCATTTCTGAGCCTCAGTTGGGTGGAGTTGAAACCTGTCTTTTCTGACAACCTCATCTCATCTGTAAATACTCATCCCACTGATGCACGGTTTCATGGAATTAATGAGGCAGCTTCATGTGCTGATGCATGTGAAAGGAGAGCTCCCTTCAAATTGCTTTCCTTTATTGCCTCCCCCCGTTTGTCCTCCCTCCCCCAGAAATCACATTAGCCAAACCAATCTCATTTACAACATGCCATTTGTTAATTCAGCCCCCTGCTCCGACCCTATAGGAGATGCTTTGTTTTTTACGTCAAAGAGTGGATGAATTTCAGGAAAAATAGAATATTATAGTAAGAAAGAAAGAACACAGAGAGCACATCGACACTGTAGTGGAGTGTAATTCATCAACTACAACGTATTGATTAACTGATCATTTGCTCTGAAATGCAGAGCATATTGTAAAAGTTAAGTTTGGCCAACCGCCCCCTGTAAATGCAGGTATCAGCATAAACAGACAAATCAACTTGTTGTTCAAGTTCATTTTGCACCAGCTAGAAACTGATGTGGAAAAGAAGGAAAATGCAGTGCATTTATTCTGTGAAATTGGAGTTTGAGATGTGATCAATGCAGCATACAGAATGCTGCATGAAATTAGTTGATTATTGGTCCTTTTGTAGTTCTCTGTCAGTGCTACATCTGCTTGCAAGTTTGTGGTAATTACTGTGCTGTGGCTAAGGTGACAACTTGGATACAGGGGGGCAGACAGCAATCAGCTGTCTCCTCCTAGTTATTGCCTGCGCCTTCCACACCAGCGGCCTTTATCTTTGCTCGTCAGAGGCAGCGACCAACACAAGGCCAGTTATTACCGCAGCAGCGACCATGATAAGATCAAAGGAGACTGGTTGAACATGGAAGATGTAATGACTGTTCTCTTCTAAGCACTGCTTCACAGAATGTCATGTCATCTCCCCCCGTTAACGTTCATGTTTTTTTTCTTCCTTTACAAGTCTTTCAAAGATGCAGAATGAGGACAGTCTTCAATTATTTTGATGTAGGGGGAAAATTACCCAGCGCTGAAATTTTAGTGAATGAAAATGTTCCTTTTCACTTTCACTTTTTTTTCTTTTTGTTCTCCGGTGTTTTACTTTAGAGCAGCTTTCACGTGCCATCTATCTTCCTCTTCTGCTTCCTTTTCTACTTGATACATACGGCTACATTTGTGCCAAAGGTTTGAAAAAGAGCGGGTTGGCATGTTGTAAAAGAACTGGAAGTAACTTCATGTGACAGACGAGAAAGCAGAAAGCAGCTGCTGACATACTGGAAGAAGGGGAGGTCATGGTTTCTCACTATCTCAGTATCCTCCCACAGACTGTGACCATGAGTAATGGAAGCGATTGCAGGGGGGGAAAGGGTGGGACGCAGGTAGAAGTGGCATGAAAGCTGTAGATACTGGAGAGGGAAAAAAATGGACACAATTTGTCTGAAATGGTGCTTGGTGCCAAGTTGTTGCCCTTATTTTTGTTTGCAAAACAAGACTTGCCATACAAGATACTACAGTGTGTTTGCTAATTCTGTTTAACTTTTGCAGAATTTAATTTAAACTCACTAACCCTGACTCCTTAGTTCAGCTAGCATGCCATCTGTCATCCTGGTGTTACGACTGCTAATAGAATAAATCTGACTTGTAAACTTTTTCAAGCATAGACCATCCAGCAGCATTCGACGGTTCTTAAGTGTTGTGCTTAACCTTTACAGTCTCTAATGTTTCAGCTGCTGATTCTTCTCATTTTTTTCCGTTTTCCTTCTTCCTAATTGACTGTTAGTGGGAGTTGCCACATTTTCTTCCATACACACACACACACACACACACACACACACACACACACACACAC